GACAAATAGTTGTAATTATTAAGTTAATTAACTAATTTTTCTTTTTTATAGCTAGAAGATTTTATTTTAAATATTTAATGTTAGTAGATGATTATTATTGTTATGGCAAGTCTCGCATCATGAAAAGAACTAATGATTAGCTATAAAATTTCTTTATAGAAATAAATATGTGGTTATATCATTTAATCATGACAAATAATTGTAGTTATTAAACCAACTGCTATCACACCCTTTTAGAACTTGAAGCAAGAGAATTATTTAGTAATATTTTATTTTAAATAATTTATTATGGCTAAAAAGTTATTATTGCTACAGTAAGTTTTATCTCGAAAAATAAAAACTAATGACTAGCTATGAAATTCCATATTAGGAATAAATCCGTGACTAATTTAACTCATACTGCCACAACTCTTTATAGCTTGAGGTAATAAATATTTATTTAGCGACAATATTTTGTTTTAAATAATATGTTATAGCTAAAAGGTTACTATTGCTATAATAACTTTTATTTCGTGGCAAAAAACTAATGATTAGCTACAAAATTCTGCCATAGCAATAAATATGTGGCTATATCATTTAACTACTGCCATAACTTTTTTTAACTTGAAGCAAAAATATTCATTTAGCTGCAACACATCGTTTCAAATAATTTATTGTAGCTAAAAGGTTACTATTGCTACAATAACTTTTGACGCGTGGTAAAAACTTATGATTAGCTACGAAATTCCACTGTAGCAATGAATTTGTAGCTATTTAGATAGTTATTGCCACGATTATTAGTAACTATAGCAAATATGAGAAATTAGCTTTGCCAATTTAGTGTTCGTAGCTAAGATATTTTACAATTTTGGAAATAGCCATAGGATTCTAATTTTTGTGGCTATTGCTAGGCATTAGCCACGCTTCTTAAATTCATAGCTAAGATTTCGTAGCCAACATTATGTATAGTTTACCTCCATGATGTAGTTACCGTTTGGCTTGAGTCAATAGTTTATTTGCAAAGTTTGATATTTGATTCGAATGAACTATTAGAGTTTGATATTTATTTGCTACAAACTTTCATTTGAAATACAAAGATAATTTTTATTATGAGATTTAGTACTAAAGTTAATATGGAAGTATAGAAAGATGGGGATCATAATGCTTATATAAAGTTAGAGATTTAGCTCATCTTTGTCCCCAAGGAAAAATCTTCCTTAACAATAGGGTATCAGGGAAGGCGCATTGTTCAGTTATGCATTTACCTTGGCGTAGATAATGTTGTTTTGATTTGTCTTGAATATTTGAACACTTAGAAAGTGCATAGTAATATCAGTTACTGTGCCCATTTACTTAAAAAAATTATCTAATTATATTGATATTGTTTTATAAAATTGTGTACTACATTATTCGGCTTACACGTGTAGAGAAACTACTATACTCTAAGTGTGATGACCCGATAGGTCATCTAGAGTTTTAAACCTTAATTCTTTGTTTCGAAGCATCCACTAGCTTCCTTAAGCCTTTCTCGATTTGTGTGTGCAGCCCGGGTATTTTCCGAAAGGCTTTTATGTTAAAAAAATAATAAAATATGAAACTTTACCTTAAAAATTTATTTGAGTTGATTTCTGTCAACGTTTTGAGCACACGGGCCCGGATTCGTGTTTTGACGGCCTCAGTTGGTCCGTATCGTGATTTGGGATATGGGCATATACCCGAAATCGAATTCGGAGGTCCCTAACTCGAGTTATCATTTTTTGTCGAAATTTTGAAGTTTAAAGGTTTAATGAATCTAAAGGTTTGACCAATGTTTGACTTTGTTGATACCGGGTCCGTATTTTATTCCGAAAATCGGTATAGGTCCATTACTATATTTATGACTTGTCTGTCAAATTTGGTGAGAAACAGAGTTGGTTTGACGTGATTCGGACGTTCAGTTGTTAAAATATAAATTTTAAAATTTCAGTGAAATTTTAATTAGATCTGGTGTCTGATTCGTAATTTTAGGTATTATTTTGGTGTTTTGATCGCGCGAGTGAGTTCGTATCATATTTTTGGACTTGTGTGCATGTTTGGTTTGGATCCTCGAGGGCTCGTGTGAGTTTAGGATAACCTACGGGCCTTTTGAACTTAGAAAGTTTGCTCGTTTTTCACTTATGCTGGTTTCTGGTGTTTTCTTTTTCGCAGTCGCGAATATACTCCCACGATCGCGAATCGTAAAATGAGCTGGAGGAGATTTTGTTCTATGTGAACGCGAAATCTTGGTCGCGAACATGGAGCATTGGGGGGCATGCTCTTCGCGAACGCGGCCAGTCAATCACGAACGCGTAGTGAAATAAAGGTGGGGAATGCGAGTTGACTGTTGTTCTACACGAACGCGATACAAGGATCGCGGACACGGAGGCTAGGGGGCTAAACCTACGCGAATGCGTAGATCAACTCGCGCTCGCGCCATTGAGGCTTTGCTCTTCGTAAACGCGATGAACACCTGACGCTAGTGATTAAAACAGTCCCAAAAACGTGATTTTGTTCATTCTTCAAATTTTCAAAGCTACAAAATCCTAAAGGCGATTCTCCTAAGAACTTTTCTTCCCCAATTTGTTGGTAAGTGATTCTAACCTACTTTCTTTCAATTTTTCATTACTTTTCATAAGATTTCAAACTAAAATCTAGGATTTTTATGGTGGACATTGGGGGTTTGGGAAGAATTAGGGACTTTTACAAAATTAGAATTTAGACCTCAAATTGAGGTCGAATTTCGAAACGAAATACATAACCGGGCTCGGGGGTAAGTGGGTAATCGGGTTTTGGTCCGAGTTTCGGGTATGAAAATCGGATTTTGGTCTAAGTTTCGAGTTTGGACCAAGCGGACCCGGGAGTTGACTTTTGTTGATTTTTTCAATAATGACCTAAATTGAACCTTTTTCATTCGTGGGTAGTTCCTAAAGCTTATTTTGAATCGTTTGGTTGATAATTTGCTATATTTGGTTGGTTCGAAGGTTTGTTCGAAAGGCAACGCCGTGGTTGAGCTTTGAGTTGGTCTTTGGAGCGAGGTAAGTGTCGTGGTTAACCTTGACTCGAGGGATTAGGACTTGTTTGCCTATTTGATCCTGGTATCCATGATTAGACTAGTTAATTTATAAATTGATCGTTATTTTCGTACTTATGAATTATCTGTGATAATTGAGTATTGTTTCTGAAGTTGAGATTGGTATTGTGGGACTAATGTTGGCAGAAGACTTGATTTTGCTTATTCCATCTCCCTATTGTTATATGTTCACTTACATGGTAAAGGAGAGTGTGAAAGCACGAAGGGTGATGTGGTGCCGTATTTGAGAGTTAATGCACGAAGGGTAATGTCGTGCCGTATCTATTGATTCATGATGAAATTGAGAATAAAAGCACAGAGGATGATGATGTGCCGTATTTATCATTTTATGGTGAGATTGGGAGTAAAAACACGAAGAGTGATGCCGTACCGTTATTATTGTTTCATAGTGAGGCTGAGAGTAAAAGTGTGAAAGGTGATACCGTGGAGTTTTATTCATTATGCTTGTTGATTTTGTTGATTAAAGGTTTATTGACTAATTCTTGTTATTATTCCCTGCTGTAGTTACCGTATCTTGAACCCCTTTCGCATGTCCCATCCCTATTGTACTTGTTAATTCTTTATTTGTGGTTATTTTGTACGTATATTTCTGTCTATACAGGTTTAATTACGCGGGTGCCCTGTCATAGCCTCGTCACTACTTCGCCGAGGTTGGGCTCGACTCTTACGGAGTACATTGGGTCGGTTGTACTCATACTACATTCTGTACTTTTTGTGCAAATTTTGGTACTGGTCCAGCTGTTCGTGCGACGTAGTAGCTCAGATTGGCATTTGGAGACTCGAGGTAGATCTACCGGCGTCCGCAGACCTTGAAGTCCCCTTCCATTTCCCTTTATCTACTGTTCTTTTCATTCGAGACATTTGTATTTATTTTAAACCCTATTTTGTAGAGATTCTAGAAGTTTGTGGAACTTGTGACTCTAGATCCGAGTTGTACTTAGATATTATTTGTTTTATGTCATTTGTATTCAGTTTTGGTTTCTTTTCGGCTTAATTGGTTTTATTGGGTTTACTTAACTGAATTGATTAAAAAATGGCTTAAAGATCCTCTAACTTTGGCTTGCCTAACAAGTGAAATGTTAGGTGCCATCACGACCCCGAAGGTGGAAATTCTGGGTCGTGGCACTAAGCTAGCGTTTGGCCATAGATTCCCAAATTTGTTTTGAAAAATCTGATTCGGGTGAAGTTTGGTTTGAAGATGAAAATGTGTTTGGACATAAGTTTTCAAAACATATTTCACTTTTGTTTTTGGATTTATACATACAAGTTCTAAAAATTATCACAAATATCCAACAATATCTTCATCAATAGCATGCATTATCATTATCACAAACCATAGTCCTGAACATAAATAAATTTAGTACAAAATTATTATTGTTATAATGAACTACATTATACACTATTAGATGACCGATAAGATAAATCAGCATTGTTGTAAAATAATAAATGGTAGGTTCTTTTATAAAATACAAAAGTTTGAGGTAATTTTAAAAAAAATATAATAGTAAAATTTGGGCCAAAAACAGCTCTTGGGATTTTTGAGAATTTGTCAAAATGTGGATAAAATTTATGAATAAATATGTATTTGTCAAAAAATATTTGGGAAAAATTTGATAAAATTTATGACCAAACAGGTCATAAATAATCGAAAAAATCTAAATATACACTTAAATGTAATTATTATAGTACATATCAGACAAATCACAAATGTCAGGTTATATTAGGACCTTTTAAGGTGCACGTGATTTTATTCTTTTTTTTTTCCCGTCCCTTTTCTGGAAAGTTGCATCAACCGCATCTCTCTCTCTCTCTCTCTCTCTCTCTCTCTCTCTGACACACACACACACACACACACAAACAAACAACCCTTATTATTCTCTTCTCTGCAAATCTAGGGTTTCGATCTCCTTTTCTTTTGCGACTACGAGAACTTCTGCTGCTTCATTAATGGAGTTTGGAGGTGATAGAAAAAGAGGAAGGCCACATGGCCCTATGAATGGCAATGGTACTTTTAAGAAATCTAAACAAGGTACTTATTATCTTTCTTTTTCTTGCTAAATACTTTTTGCATTTCATCCTCTTTTTTTCTAATCTTTGTTTGCTTGCATATTGTTGGCTTCGTTATTTGTTATCTATACGTGCTGTCAAATCTAGGGTTTTGCTAATTTTACTTCTCCCTTTTTTTTTGGAATTTAATATATATCAATTTTTGTTGACATTTTTATCCTTTTCTGGTATCTATATTTGCGGTTGTTGTGTTTTTTTTTTCCCTTTCTGAAACGTGTAATGGTGTGTATTAATAGGGTTGTTTTCCACTCATGTATTTTATCGGTCATGGTGATTAAAAATTTCCGAGTAGTGGTCGCAAAGACAGTTACATCAAAGTGTAAAGTGTGAATAGTTAAATGAATTAAGTTTTGAAAGTTTTTTAAATTCAAAACTTTTTAGCCATGAAAGAGTGTCTTGTAAACTATGATAGTTAAAATTGTTTACAGTCACCCATGGTGTGGCTTAGTAGTCAATGAACTAGGTGCAAATTGCAACGGAGCTAAAAAATACTAGGTGATTTCTGGTGGGAGGTAAGGAATAGTCAAGACGCATGCAAGCTGGCCTGAATACCACAATCATTAAAAAAAGAAAAAAAGAAAAATCGTTTACAGTAGAGGGAACAATTGTCATGTAAAGCTTGCTAAGTTAAATCTGAAACACAGGGTAGTAAAATAGTTTATCATGATCGAGCTGAATTGTTTTTGTTTCTTGTGAGAAAGAGAGGAGAACTCAGTTCCTTCTTGCGTTTCTTTTTTGCTTTTTTATACCTCCAAGAAGATAGGTTTTAGTATTTGCTTCTATCTCTTCGGAAATTTTTGCTGGAGTACCTCTAAATTGTGGAAGTTATTTGTAAAATAGGGTCTGGTAGACATTCTAAAAAAAAAAACAAAAACAAAAAACAAAAAAAAAAACCCAGGGTCTGTTAGATGGCATGTACATTGTATTTGACTGTGAATTTTCTTGTAGCCAAGTTTGTCCTGGTAAATTGCCGTGAACTATATATTCTATGTTCACCTCCAAAAGAATTAGAGTTTGAAGAGTTCAAGTGTAAGTTGTTTTGTCCTTAAAATAAGAACTTACCAAAAAAGTGAAATTCTTGTTTCTGGAGAAAGATAAAATCTGGTTATACTTTAAAGGTTTACGGGACCAACTTAAGGATTCAGTTTAATTTGTAATGGTTTTCATGATTGTTTATCAACTCCATGGTTTTATATTGATCAGAAAAAGTTGTGATAATGTAATTGAGTGATAACAAATGTCTTTCAAATAGATGGTTAATACCACAAATTTAACTGGAAAACAATTGATTAATGTTATGCAACAGAACTGGAGTCAATTCCAACTGGTATAGGAAGCAAATTGAAGCCGTGCACAAAGTTTTTCAGGTTCTAATCTTAACTCATCTAAAATAAGCACTTTAAGTGTAGTTTATTATATTTCTAACTTCTTAAATTCTAATCAAGCGTATTTATGTAGTTAATTCCAATTATTCAGATCCTTTCGGACTAATGGATTGGTTATCCAAGGCCGTGTTACAGGGATAATAGTTGTTAAGTTGAAAACAGCTGTTGAAAGGAAATGCGATGATTTTGATATAACATTGAACTAACAACTTGCTCAGAGTTTGTAATCAAAAAAGCTGATCAGCCGTCAGCGGGAGTAAAACTTCCACTGCCTTTAAATAAGCCAGTATAACGATTCTGCTACACTCAATCATGTTGGCAAGTAAATGCAGTGCAAACTTAGCTATATAATTTTGTGAGAAACTTTGGTGAGTCACATCCGGTGATAATATTGTGATGATGCGGCAGATGGATGAATTGGTCTTTCATATGCCGATTATTATGCTGTTCTCTCCTCCTAAGTGACTTTTCTTGGCATTGAACAATTCTGTAGTTTGCAATCAAATTGATGTGTTGGTACTTCAAGGGTTTGGGTGGGCCGGGAGTATTGTATTGGTAAAGTTTTTAGAATAGCTAAGCTTCTTGATCTGAGAAGTCTTGATGCCTTCTTAGTTATAGTTTACCTAATCTCTTTTCAAGCAATCTAGGTTGTACTTTTGGCTTCTCCTATTCTCTAATGTGTGACATGAACCTACTCTTTCTGCATAAAATAGGCTTTTTGGGTGGTTGTGTTGATCTAGCTGTTATGTGGGAAGATTTTGCATTGGTTAGTCTCATTGATGAATCAAGGAAATGTTGTTGCATGAGGTGATTTTAGAAAGTCAATTTGTACTTTTAAGGATCAATGCATGAAGGCTAAAAATAAAAAGAAGGGGAAAGTACAGTGTCGGGAAAGTTTTGAATTTGCACAACACAGTGCCATTTATACACACTTGTCCCCTTGTTATACATGTATAACATACATGAACAAGTAAAATAGGGAAATCGAATATGAACCTTACTACATGTGATTTTACTTGGTGGGAACATAACCTGTCGGACACAAAACTTGTGTTTTGTGATCGTTCAAGTAAATTACTAAATTATGAGCCACTTTTTACTGCATCTCAAGAATCGCTTATCTTGTGAAGCAAACATGTTTAAGCACATTTATATATATAAAAGATTGTGTTTAAAGTCTCCATGAATCACCAAATCTAAGAGATAGAGTGTTTACTTCATCCTATAGAATGTGAATATTTGATGTATGTTTCATGTTTGGTTAAAAGCGTCTCAAGCATGTCCAAGTTGATTAAATCTTGAACCTTCTCAAGAGGATTCATGCGTCTCAGGTGACTTCTGCTAGCTGCCTTCCCACTCCATTATGCTAATTTGTTCGTTCTAAACCTTCTTCTCTTGGCCTACTAGGTCTCAATTGCTTAAGGGATCCAGGTTCTTGGAATGTTTCTGGCTAACTAGTTAAGAGAACTATTTCTTCAAAGAGTTTTATGAATGGATGTAGTAACCTCAAAAGGAAAAAAACATCTTCTTTGGTTTCACTGTAACTTGTATAAGATTTCTTTGGCACCAAGATATACCATCCAAAGTAATGTGATCCCTACTGTTGGCTGGAAATAAATAAATTCATTGGTTAACTTGATTCTTTTGATGTACCTATTTCTGTCTACAAGATGAGGCGTGATATATCTCTGCTGGTAGTATTAGGCACCATTCAGTTTTGGCCTTGTGTGTAAATTCACACAAGGAAATTATTTTTTAATTGATTAGTTATTTTTGAGATGAAGAGGAACTCAAAATGATGAGATCACTACATTCATATTAACACATAGTTCGAGAATTACGTCATATAAGATACCGAAGCCCCAAGGGCTGTTCAAGTGGCAAAGGTTGAGGGATTTGTGAATTAGGTCACATGTTCGATCCCTGCGTCATTCAAACTTAGTTCAAGTGGCAAAGGTTGAGGGATTTGTGAATTAGGTTACATGTTCGATCCCCGCGTCATTCAAACTAAGCCTGGTTTTTAAGTGGAGAAGAGTAGAGGGGTGGGCCCATTATCCCCAAGTTTTGAAGGCTGCGGTTGGCCCTAAAGGGTTTGCCTAAGACGAATCACGGATTTCTCGGTCATAAAAAAAAATAAAAGATAAAAGATAGCCAAAGTACAAAGATTGGAGCATATGTTCAGTGCTCCTTGATGATTCAAGTTACTAGAAAAAAGCATGTGGACTGAAGAAAAGTTTGAAAAAAGGCTTAAAGGATGCTCTGTGTTTTTTGAGCGCTATGGTTTATGTTAAGAGGCATTAAATTAATTGTGCAGGATGAATGTGATTTCAGATGTATTTATATGGTTAAGCCATGTAATGAGATTAAATTAGTTATGATAAATTTTATTGGTCAAAGGTGTATTTTTGGTTGGAGGCTATGGTCATGTTGGATCACAGATGGCCTTTTTTAAATGGTTGCATGAACTGAAGTTTTCCAACATTTGTAATGTTTCAGAAAAGTGCCATTGATATAATCTTGCTGGTATACATAATAATGCCTAATTCAAGAATTACGTCATATACGATAGCGAACTACAGGGTTTGGCGCAGCATATGTTCAGTGCTCCTTGATGAGTCAAGTTACTAGAAGAAATCATGTGGACTGGAGAAAAGTTTAAGATTAGGATAGGATGCTTCTCTGTTTATATTATGGGGCATTAAAGTTAATTGTGCAAGAGATTGTGAGGTCAGTCGTTAGACATATCTATAAGGTTAAGCCATGTAATGGGATTATGAGGTTAAAATAGTTATCAAAGATTTTATTGGTCAAATGTCCATTTTTGGTTGGAGGCTATATTCATGTTGGATTATAGATGCCCTTTTTGTTAATGGTAGCATGCACTATATCATTAGAAGAGCGTCATTGATATAATCTTGCTGATAATTCACCTTACATATCAAAAAGGTTATAGATTGCTGATAATTCTTTTTTGTTCTCTCTTCTTTATCAAAAAAAATTGTTGGTGCTTTATAAATAGTACTTATGAAATCTCTCTCTGCATGTTTGGATGTAACACCATTGGTCAGAAAAGCAGTTTTAGTTGAAGTTGTCGCTGGTGAAAAACAGTTTTCATTTTGCTTAGCTGTCATAGCCTGTTTTGCTGTAGAGTCAACCAACCATTCTACGTAGATTCTTCCAAAAGCTCAAATATTAGTCTGATTTGATTCTAGGGTCTTTTACCTGTGTGGCTGTTTCTCTGTAGGAAAAAGGGGTTATGATTGCCTTCGTTTAGATTTAAGAGATAGAAAAGAGCCCTAAACTTCCGGTTGTCATTGTACTAGTAAGTCATAATGCAAAGGTCTGGGCTCCAATTTATGTTTAAATCAGGAAAGACTGGTTGTTACACATGATGGCTCTGAAGATTGAAGAATATAACACACAGACATAACTAGGTGGAGTTTTATGAAGTTATACATAATTGGTTATATTGCATATACGCCATGATTGCAAGTTTGCTGCAGTGTTATGAGCTTAAAGCCTTTGTTTGTAGGCGCAAGAAATCTGACAAGATGTTTAGGGTGGAAAGATTAAGTAGGACACTAGCTGGTATCTTGAAACAGAACATTGATTGATAGTTTGAGATTCTGCTTTTGCTATGGAGCTGGTTAAAGCATAGATGAAAGTGGATGTAATAGTTGCATGTACTTGTATGATTAGAGGGTGGTCTAAAAGAGCTTCAGAAGTGTCCCTACTTTATCAGTGACTACATTGAGACAGAAGTAATAAGCTCTGGCTTTTTCTGTCTACAGGCACCAAACAGTGAGAAGAATTTACTGGTGCCTTGTTTTGGGCCTATTGAAGAGTACATGTTTGACATGAACCAGGTACCACATTTCAATATATTTCTTCTGTGGCTGTTTTGGTGAATTGTGCTATGTGCAGAGAAATTCCCTTCAGTCATTTGATAAGAAAGATCCCAGATGCATTTTTTTTGAAAGGAGAATATTACCAAATTCTTCTGGTTAGATGATTGTTATTCTCATTCAGTAAATTGTGAAGGGGTAGGAAATTCAAACTTGAAGTTGTCCGTATAGGTAAAGTGCATGGTTGGTATCTTCCATCAAAAGATAGAAAGGACATAATTTTTTTCTAGTTGGCTGATTGTGTATAAGATGTTTGGTTGCTTTAGGGCAATACGCTTTGTATCTTTGTATTTGTTGAACTGTTAGGAATAGAAAAATCGGTAGGTGCAGTTTCGAATCTTGCTATTAAGCATGCTTTCTTTGATTCTGTTTTAACTGAAAATTGATGATCTTGGAGATACACTGACAATTGCGGAGAGTCAATTGTAGTATTCTGAAAATGGATGTGTGATTGTTATGACATTTCTCTCTGTAGATGCTACATGTGATCACACCGTAATTGGTCTTTAAATTTTATTCACTTATGTGGCAATGCTGGGAAATGTAGTGAAATGCCATTTTAGATCTTCAAGTCCTCTTTTATCCCCTTTTTGGTGCATTACAATGCCATGATTGATATCTGGAAAACCTTTTCTTTCTGAGTCTTGCAATTCAGGTATATTTGTTGTTTGAAGAATTTCCCTTGCAACTAAAGTTTGTACAGACTTTTCCACCTTAATTTTCTTTCAACTCAGTTATTTAGACCAAAAGTCGAATAGAAAGAAGCAGCCTGGTGTATTGTAAGCTAACATAAAATTTTCAGTTAACTTCGGATACTTTTTTTTTGCGGGGCTGGGGGGTTGGTGACATAGGACCATTCAACCGAAAGGCAGTGATTAAGAAATATCTAGTGTGCTCTGAAGAGAAGCTTGCTTACAATTTTCATTTTATTGAAATGAGAATCCCTGCCTTCTTAATGGAGGTCTGAATCTTAATCATTCGGATCTCAGACATTAAGTGCGTTTGTTTTTAAAGTTTGAATCTTAATTATTCAGATCTTAATCGTTAAGTGTGTTTGTTTTTTACTTCATAATCACTTAATGGGTCTGAATAGGTCTGTATCATTAAGATCTATAACAGAGACTTAATTTCATTAAGATGCTATCATCCATATTCATTATTAATTGCCGCCACCGCCTACCATTATCAACTACCACCATGCCACCCACCACCCACCACCACCATACTCAACCACCACCACTATCATCCTCAATCATAGCCGCCGCCATTGTCGACTACCCCACCCACCATCCCCACCACTCCCACCATCATCATTCTCAATGACAACTAACACTCATCCACCTCAACTACCACAACTAACTATCCCATCACCATCAACAACAACCATAGCTGGCACTGCCCATAATTATAAACTACTACCACCACCACCCGCCATTATTAACTATTACCACCCACCACCACCATCCTCAATCATAATAGCTACCACTACCAATCACCACTAGCTACTACCCTAAACTACCACCATCAACCAAATCTACCACCAACCACTGCTTTTAGTCGGCATTCACAAGCATTACCGTTAGCCATCACCACCAACAACTATCATATTTTAAAAAGCTATATATTTTAGTGATGGAATATTAGATTAATTAGTATTTTATTTGAATTTTATGTTTATTAATTTTCAAATAAACGTAAATTTTATACATTCAGATGTTAAAAATCAAACAGTCTTAATCATTTAGTATTCAGATCTTAATACACATCTTAACATTCAGATGTGTATTAAGATTCAGATGTCTTAATCTTAATTGAATTTTATGTTTATTAATTTTCAAATAAACGTATATTTTATACATTCAGATGTTAAAAATCAAACAGTCTTAATCATTTAGTATTCAGATCTATTTGAATTTTATTTGAATTTTATGTTTATTAATTTTCAAATAAACGTATATTTTATACATTCAGATGTTAAAAATCAAACAGTCTTAATCATTTAGTATTCAGATCTTAATACACATCTTAACATTCAGATGTGTATTAAGATTCAGATGTCTTAATCTTAATACACATTTTGATATTCAGACGTGTATTCAGATTCAAACGTCTTAATCTTTTTTAAGTGATCCCCCTTCATACGACGTAGAATTGATTTGGTTTATTCAAATGATGGAAACCTCACCAGTTTCTTCTACTCGGCTGATTGTGTATAAAATGTTTGGTTGCTTCATAGCAATAAGCTTTGTACCTTGCTTTGTTGAACCGGTTGTGTGCATAGAGAAGAAAAATAGGTAATCTTTTGTGGTGCAATTTTGGAACTTGCTACTGAGAATCTGACAAGTGACTTACAAAAAGAATAAAAAGAATCTGACAAGTCCGAAGAGTAAATCTTGGACAATCTGAAACCAAACATCTGATTGTTATGATACATATGATATGATTGCACTCAAAAGTTTGGTTTTTAAATTGCTTAGTAACTTTGAGAATGGGAATGAAATGATGTTTTGGATATTCAATTCCTCATTCAACTTATTAAAAAAAGATTCAATTCCCCCCACCTTGGTGCTTATAACATACCATGATACCATAGTGGGAAACCTTGTCCATTGATTAGAATTGCAAATGTTGTTCTTATTTTGAGGAATTTCCCCTCCTACTGGAGTTTGTACCATTGATCTCAATTTCCTTGTCATTCAGTTATTTAAACCTAAAGTCTGAGTGGAATTGGACAGCTGTGCTTGTAACACAAAATTGACATTCTTCTGTCGTTTCTGAATACTTTATGAATGTTGGAACTATAACAAGAAGTGGTTTGGATGTTTTCATTATAAAAGGAAGTGTTTGGTGATATGGCTGAGAGAATTAGATTGTTATGAATTATGGGTGAGGAATTCATAGATCTTAAACACTAATTTTATTGTATCAGAGGTTTATACATCGTCTTTCCCAAGTTGAAATTTTTTATTTAGTTGGACGAATAATCAGTATGATCTGTGTTAATCTCTGATACTGAGATGTGGATTTGTGGAGAAAAGTGCAACATTGAGGGTAAGATTTTCCTGGAAATTTGTAAACCAGCTTATGGTTGCAAAAGTAGTATACATCTGCTTTGCTATTTTATTCCATTCTGAAATTGTGGTCATGATGGCTCAGCGCACCGGAGATTACATTTCTCTTGCTACACTTACAGACTATCATAATAGTTTATAAAATCCGATAGTTATTTCACGCAGTAATACATTTACCGGAGACTTGGAATGAGAATGCATTCATAGATACTATGTGAAGATGCAGCATTTTTGTGATATTAGTGGAAAAAGACCATATACGTGATGATTGACATTTTGCTGTACTGGTGTCAATGAATCACTGTTACTTTTGGTTCATGGATACATTGGATAGAGATTTGTCTCAAGGAACAAAATTTGGATTTTGGCTCTTAAGTCTCTATTTCCTTTGAGGTGATATGGACAGAGGATCTTCAAGGGGATGAGATGTCAAAGAGAAAACCTCAATGCTTCTTGTTGCGAAGTGTTTTCTTTTCTTATGCACAGGGGACATGAGTCATTTAATTTATACCAAGATGATTTACGTTCTGATTTTTTGGCTGCCAGTGGATGTTGATCGATATATGAAGATGATTAGTTTCTAATTTTAGCTGCCATTGTATGTTGATGGTCTTTTAACTGAAAAGTCTGTGGTGGGAGGTTCTGAATTGGTTTTGAATACAGTGGTTATGGTGAGTTCAGTAAAGGGGGCATTGCATAGCTGGAATTTCAAAAGGAGAAAGATAAGACCCAAGGCATGAGATATAGCCCAACTAGCTCTTATCTTTGTTGTGTAGAGGGAGAGAAATGAGACCAGTGTCTGTTGCGGAAGCCAAATGTATATAGTGTGAATGAGTCACAACTACTATACCAAAAATTATG